GTCTCTTATACACATCTAGATGTGTATAAGGGACAGGTTATGGGCTATCTGCTTAGTTACCGTGGTTAACCACAGCTGTAGGTGGAACTGTTCACATAAGCTGAACAGAGTATATGAAGTTGAAGGCTGTTGTTTTAAGTTAAAGTATTTATTTAAAGCTGTAATTAGTCCTTCTAAGAAAGCTCAACCTTTGGTGAGTTACTTTGATTAGTTTGATTTTACTTGCTAAGCATATTATTATGATTGATTGTTCTTTTTGTTCATACAGTAGGCCTAGGCCTAGTATATTTCTTAGATGTATCATTGGAATTCCTATGCACTCCTCAGAATATTAATTACAGTTGACATTGTCACTAGCACATAGCATACAGTATGCTTAGTTAATCTAAATGAGAATACATTGATATTATTAGTACTTTAGTACATTTTCTATTCTTGAGTTAGGCTTCATTTCTGAATATTTCATCTCGGAATTTGTTTATTGTTTTCTTTAACTGTTTCAGTTAATCAGACTGACGGTTTATAGTCTGTCTCTTATACACATCTAGATGTGTATAAGAGACAGTATATATATATATAGATTGTTAAAGTATAACCAATTGTGCTTAAGTCATATCAATCTTTTAATTGATTATTAACTACTTAAAGTATGCGTCAGTTCGTGTGAATAATTATTATTTACTACACTACATCATTGGTAGTTTATTTATACGGTATTTCGATTGATATTCGCCACCTTCGTGTGATCCATATTACACTGAGCTCTGTCTATATAACAAACACAGGATTCGCGGGATTGTATTTCCAAATACATACACAAAAACATATTGCCGATGTTTATTGTACTAAAGCATTGAGGTGAATTGACAAAAGCTCACGATTGAAGTCGTGAACAGACTGAATATTACATGTGCAAAGAAAATTATCACTTTTAATTTGTTTATTGCTGCAATTATACCGTCATTGTCATTTTCATAACTCCATGCTGTGACTAATCTGTAGCAAATTGCCACCTGCGTCGGCTTTTGTAGCGTTTTTAAGAGGCGTATATTATCATGTATGGTTTTCACAAGTTCTGCTTCTTGAAAAGGCCCTGCTCGGCCGATTTAGGGCAAAAATTAAAATGGTGATGTATAATTATGCTTTAATCAGTGAGAGTTTAAGGCTGTTAAGCAACTGACTGCCTTGATGTTTTAATTAGACAATTATTATGTTTGTAAGTATGGAACAATCATTTCATCATGAAAATGTTCAATTAACATTTCTTCTTCAGAGTGCACTGATAGTTCATGTGTTTTCTTTCAGTTGATTGCACTACTAATCCATGCATGAATAATGGTATTTGTGAGAGTAATAATTTGTGCAATTGTGATGGAACTGGTTACACAGGCACCTCGTGTGAAACTGCAGGTATTTATGTTACGTAGAAAAAAATTATTGTAACATGATGAAATAATCTTTACATGTAGATCTGGAAAAATAGAGTTTACTGTATACCCACCAACACCCAACCATGGTTGGAGCTGAGTTGAGCAGATAAAAATGGCACCGGAAATAGCAGCTGGCAAACCTGTAGAGCTCCTATCCTTTTCATATTGGCATTGCACAAGATTTAAAGTTGGATGCTAGAGTTCATACCCACCTCAGGTCACCAATATTTGGGACTGAAGTAACAGAGGTTTAAAAAAAAGGCACCTCAAGATGCCCGAAAACAGTGGTTGGCAATGGGCCTAATTTTAATTGTAACGTATACAGCTACCGATTCTTTAAGAAATAAAGGTAGTTGTACATTTACAGTAATAGTTAGGCTATAGTTATATTTAGTTATCTGTACTGCATAGACTTACTCCATATAAAAATATAAGTGTAGATTCCAAATCCCTATTTTTTAGTTATTTTTATATTCTTTAACCCATCTTTGTAAAGTCGAGCATATCCTGATTTGTAACTTGCTTATCATGAACTGATCTTGCCAGCTCCTTAGTTATGGGCTATCTGCTTAGTTACCGTGGTTAACCACAGCTGTAGGTGGAACTGTTCACATAAGCTGAACAGAGTATATGAAGTTGAAGGCTGTTGTTTTAAGTTAAAGTATTTATTTAAAGCTGTAATTAGTCCTTCTAAGAAAGCTCAACCTTTGGTGAGTTACTTTGATTAGTTTGATTTTACTTGCTAAGCATATTATTATGATTGATTGTTCTTTTTGTTCATACAGTAGGCCTAGGCCTAGTATATTTCTTAGATGTATCATTGGAATTCCTATGCACTCCTCAGAATATTAATTACAGTTGACATTGTCACTAGCACATAGCCTACAGTATGCCTAGTTAATCTAAATGAGAATACATTGATATTATTAGTACTTTATAGTACATTTTCTATTCTTGAGTTAGGCTTCATTTCTGAATATTTCATCTCGGAATTTGTTTATTGTTTTCTTTAACTGTTTCAGTTAATCAGACTGACGGTTTATAGTAGAACGATCCATTTAAGTATTTGATTGGTTCTTACAAGAAATAAAGAAACAAGAAACCGTACTGCATTAGCAAGTGTGTCATTGGCTAATTACAATCAGTTTAAAGCAAAAGTACTATACAATTGAAACTTTTTAGGCTTTCAACAAAGACTTACGTATTATATGTAAATCTAATGTAGAATAAACTTACTCACAATTATGCTTAAAGAAAAACAATATACAAGTGATACTTTGTAGGCTTTTTAACAAACAATTATGTATTATGTAAATCTAATATACTCCACAGATAGCGAAGATCCTGTATTGACATGTCCACCTGACACCAGCTTATCAACTGACAGAGGAATGTCAACAGCTACTGTCACATATAATGCTTCGGATGTTACAGTAACTGACAACTCAGGGGAAACTATTGTTCCAATTACCACAACATCATTTCCAGCTGAATTTGTGATTGGACCAACCAATGTAACGTATACAGCTACCGATTCTTCTGGAAATACTGGTAGTTGCACGTTTACAGTAACGGTTACAGGTTAGTTGTATTTCCTTATGTATACATAGACTTCCTCCTTATAAAATTATGCTTCAGCAAAAATACTCTACTAATAATACTTTGTAGGCTTTTTAACAAACTATTATGTATTATGTAAATCTAATGTACTTTACAGATAGCGAAGATCCTGTATTGACATGTCCACCTGACAGCAGTTTATCAACTGACGGAGGAATGTCGACAGCTACTGTCACATATAATACTTCGGATGTTACAGTAACTGACAACTCAGGGGAATCTCTTGTTCCAATTACCACAGCATCATTTCCAGCTGAATTTGTGCTTGGACCAACCAATGTAACGTATACAGCTACCGATTCTTCTGGAAATACTGGTAGTTGCACGTTTACAGTAACTGTTACAGGTTAGTTATATATTGTTATCTATACATAGACTTACTCTATATAAAATTATGCTTAAGCAAAAATACTCTACCAGTGAAACTTTGTAGCCTTTTCAACAAACAATTATATATTATGTAAATCTAATTTACTCTACAGATAGCGAAGATCCTGTATTGATATGTCCACCTGACAGTAGTTTATCAATTGACGGAGGAATGTCGACAGCTACTGTCACATATAATGCTTCGGATATTACTGTTACTGACAACTCAGGGGAATCGCTTGTTCCAATTACCACAATATCATTTCCTGTTGAATTTGTGCTTGGACCAACCAATGTAACGTATACAGCTACCGATTCTTCTGGAAATACTGGTAGTTGCACGTTTACAGTAACTGTTACAGGTTAGTTATATATTGTTATCTATACATAGACTTACTCTATATAAAATTTTGCTTAAGCAAAAATACTCTACCAGTGATACTTTGTAGCCTTTTCAACAAACAATTATATATTATGTAAATCTATTTACTCTACAGATAGCGAAGATCCTGTATTGATATGTCCACCCGACAGTAGTTTATCAATTGACGGAGGAATGTCGACAGCTACTGTCACATATAATGCTTCGGATGTTACAGTAACTGACAACTCAGGAGAATCTCTTGTTCCAATTACCACAACATCATTTCCAGCTGAATTTGTGATTGGACCAACCAATGTAACTTATACAGCTACCGATTCTTCTGGAAATACTGGTAGTTGCACGTTTACAGTAACTGTTACGGCTGTCTCTTATACACATCTAGATGTGTATAAGAGACAGGTATACAGCTACCGATTCTTCTGGAAATACTGGTAGTTGCACGTTTACAGTAACTGTTACAGGTTAGTTATATATTGTTATCTATACATAGACTTACTCTATATAAAATTATGCTTAAGCAAAAATACTCTACCAGTGATACTTTGTAGCCTTTTCAACAAACATTTATATATTATGTAAATCTAATTTACTCTACAGATAGTGAAGATCCTGTATTGATATGTCCACCTGACAGCAGTTTATCAACTGACGGAGGAATGTTGACAGCTACTGTCACATATAATGCTTCGGATGTTACAGTAACTGACAACTCAGGGGAATCTCTTGTTCCAATTACCACAACATCATTTCCAGCTGAATTTGTGATTGGACCAACCAATGTAACGTATACAGCTACCGATTCTACTGGAAATACTGGTAGTTGCACGTTTACAGTAACTGTTACAGGTTAGTTATATATTGTTATCTATACATAGACTTACTCTATATAAAATTATGCTTAAGCTAAAATACTCTACCAGTGATACTTTGTAGCCTTTTCAACAAACAATTATATATTATGTAAATCTAT